GAAGATAGGATAGATAAAACTCTTGAAGACACTTGATATAGGGGAATGAAATTCCCGGTTTAATATGTCTGGTACGAGATCATGTTCACTAAAATCAAAGAATGAGATTTAGGAACAATGGAGGTTAAGAACAGAATATATTTATTGAGAGAAAGAAAGCTTCTGTCTGAGAGACAGAGGAGGTCCCGAGCAGGTTGCCGGGGACTCCGTCCTTTCTTGGGACTTTTATAGAATAAAATCATGAGGTTAAATGGGTCAAATGTGGGGAAAAATAGGAATTTGCAAGGTGGGCATAAGGCGGGACAGAACTGTGGCCAACCAATAAGAGTAATTCTCAGGTAAAATTGATTAAATTAGGAGCAAATGGGACAGCGAGTCACTCAGTAAGCGGGCATGCTTAACAGAGGTGACTCTTCCTGTAGGGGCTGGGATGGTGACTCCTGACTTCCTCAGGGTGATGGAGAACTATTTGGATTGTGGATCCTTAGGATGTGGCTGTATTTGCTTTGCCTTTTGTCTTGAGATCTGGCCCACAGCAGGAGGTGATTGTCTTCCAAGGCTGCACGTATCTGATCTTCTGCTCTGGCTCCTTTGAGGGCCCAGCCCTGTCTGACTGCCTATATTTCTAACTAGCTCAGCTGCCTATAACAATATGAGAGATGCAAATTAAAACAACACTGAGATTCCACCTCACCCCTGAAAGAATGGCTATTTTCAAGAAATCAACGAATAACAAATGCTGCAGGGGCTGTGGGGGAAAAGGAACCCTTCTCCACTGTTGGTGGGAGTGTAAACTGGTGCAACCCACTGTGGAAATCAGTGTGGGGATTCCTCAGAAACTTAGGATTAGAGGCCCCATTTGCCCTATTTATTCTCCCTCTGGGTATCTTCTCAGAAGAATTTAAAAACATCATACCACAGCGATATATGTGTACCCATGTTTATAGCAGCACAATGTATAGTAGCTAGGTCTTGGAAGCACAATGTATAGTAGCTAGGTCTTGGAAGCAATCTAAATGTACATCAACAAGAAAGAATAAAAAAGATGTGGTATTTTAATACAATGGAGCACTACTCAGCCATAAAGAAGGATAAACTTGAGACCTTTATAGGCAAATGGATACAACTAGAGACCATACATATAAGTGAAATAAATCAGACTCACATGTATAAACATCATATTATCTCCTTAGTGTGAAAAGCTGAAATAATATATATTATATATACTTATATAAAGAATATTAAGATAGTTATAATACTAGTTTCTCTTAGTTCATTAAAAAGAAAGGTTTGTACTAATATTATTTAGACAATTGCAGATATCTTGTACTCTGAGTATCTAATTTAAAAATAACAATACTGAATTATTAACCATTGTTACCCTCTAATTATCATACTTTGAGATTATTTTCTCTTTAAAATAAAATTTTAAAAAATGATATATAATATACAGGGACAAATTCTCTATGATGAATGTTATCATTATGTATATCTAATATATCAATAAACTCAAATTTTTTTAAGATAAAATGTATAGTAATGCAGGAGAAGGCAAGTAAATTAATATAGGAGACTGAAAAGTCTATAGTAGTCTATAGTAGTGAATTATTTAATAAAATATTTTCCTCAACAAGCTGAAAAATATATGTATATGTATATAAAAATAGGTAAGGTGGTTATACTACTGACTTCTCTGAGTTGGCTGAAGGGAACGACTTGTGCTGGTATTGTTCAGTCAGTTGAAGGCAATGTCTTGTGCTCTGGGTGAATGATACGGGGATGACAATGTGCAATGTATGCACCATTCTTACCCCGAATGATGTGCTTTGAAATTTTATTGTAGTTTTTTTCTTTCTTTTTTTATGTTTGAATAAAGTGAATTTGAAAAATAAATAAATAAAATATTGCCCTCAATTACTTGGTGAGCAGAGAGGCTTTGGGGGAGAAAAGGTGACAGACAGAGTTGGTGCTCACTGGCTTTTATTCATTTACTTGGCAAGTTAGTATGAAGAGTTGAATGACAAGGAATTGAATGAACCTTGGAGCCACTGCTCTAAGCCCAAAGAGTAACTGATAGCATAGGAACAGCAGCATGGGCAACAGAAGCCCATTGAAAACATTTCATAAATAGGTAGTTTCCCACCAGCAAAGACCAGGTTGTACAGCTTTCCTCCCACCAAGCCTGGTTTCTTTACATGGTGTCACAATAGCATCTATTTGTGCAAAAGAGAGAGGCATAGAACTTAGGGCACAAAACAATAAGTCAGTCTAACAAAGACCTCCACGCACACGGCCACACATGGAGCTCTGGAAACAAAGGTGTGAGATACTTACAATGCACGTGACGGCATCCTGTGACAAAGTTCATAAACCCAGACTGCAAAAACTCTTGGATGCCCAAACATGCACCGGCAGAACACAGGTCACAAAATCTGCAGTTTCCCAAGTTGGGTGCCGCCCCTCACGCAGTTCAGATGTGGTGGTGGAGGAAAAAGATGAGAGAAGACCCTCCCGGGGAGGAAGCTAGGGCCCACGAGGGCAGCGTGCACCCCAGGACACACACTTTCAAATCAGAGAGTCTGTTGCAGCCCCTCCTGGTGCGCGCTGGTCGTCTGGGTGCTGTGCTCTGAGAACAGCGCTGAGTGCCCACACCTGCAGCTCTCTCCCACCTAGTGAATTTCTTTTCCTGGCTGTAGGAATCTAAGAGGCAAGCAAGATGTGCACAAGTGTGTTCCTGCCTCCAGACAGAGCCCTCTACAAGTGTCCCCACACGGAGACCCTGCTTTCCTCCCCTCCTTTCTCAGATGGAGACAGAATTTCTCCCACTTCCTGGGCTGACTGTGATGTTAGCAGTGATTTTCCCATATTTCCACCATCTTACTTAATCTTATCTCTAGGTGAACAGCTGAAACTATAGATTAGAAATAAAAATAGAATAAAACTACTATTTTCCTCAGGAGTGAGGCTGTTTTTGCATTTCAAATTGCATTATTTTGAATGTAATTAATTGAATGCATTAATTGAATTTCAGATGAAATTCAGATTGCATCTGAAAAACAGATGATCACAAAGAAACATGTGTAGCATTGTCATGATAGCCAGAAACATCCACGCTCAGTGATTTAGTTTTATGCCCTTTCTGGCCCTTTCAATGCATTCATTAAAACTTCATTTGTTTTGGTTTTATTGTATTTCAAGTACTTTTCCAAGTATTTGGGACACATCAGTAAACAAAAAAATGGCTTCTAACTGAAGTCAGATGGACAAAAATGTGTGTGTGTGTGTGTGTGTGTGTGTGTGTGTGTGTGAAAAATAAGTTATTTTGTATCTTTATTTATTTATTTGGTACCGGGGATCAAACTCACCACCTTGTGCTTGCCAGGCAGGCGCCTACACCACTGCGCTAAATCCCCAACCCCCAGTTGTTTTGTATCTTATCAGGTGAAAACGCTATGGAAGCACACAGAAAGTTGTGTGGGGCAAAGGGAATTGGGACAGCTGGGAGGTTACAATTTCAACCCCTGTAGGAAGAGCAGGCTTCACTAACACTGGACATTTGAGCAATGACTCGAAGCAGGAGGTGCAGCTGTGTGTCAGATGTACGTTCAGATGGACTGAACCCACAGATGGTCCCTGGGGGAAGTGGCTGGAGCAGATGGGAAGACTGCTGGGAGAAGAGGTCAGAGAGCCACCAGGAAAGGGGACGCAGACTGAGAGGAGCCCTGGGAGTGAGGAGCCCAGACTACGATAGTGTCCAGAGGGGTGCGGGACAGGTTAGGAGCTACTGCGGTAATTCAGGTGGATTGGTCTAGTCATCAGACTTGGGAAATCTTTTTTGACATGAGGCTAACAGGATTTCCTGAAGGATGATGGAGAATCCAAGAAAAGAAGTGTATTCCAGATGATTTGCAGCATTTTGGTTTGAGTGTATTGGGCATTAGGGAAGATTTAGGTGCAACAAGTGGACTGAAGAAGCCTGGATGGAGCAGATTTAAAGGGACAACAGCGGGAGTTCGAGAGCAGCATGACAAGTTTGAGATGCCCATTAGGAATCTCAGTGGGAGCTGGATTTATGAATCATAAATTTAGAGGACTTAGGTTAGATGAGATGGTGTTTAAAGCTGCAATGGGAAAAGGTCAAATGAGTGTAGGCAGAAGAAGGAAGGAACTTAAAAATTAGTTTGGAAGAGGTGATGCCGCAAAGAAGCCTGGGAAGGAGGCAGGAGTTCTTCGGAGGGTGGTTCTGGGAGCTACGGAGGAATGGCCCAGGGCAGACAGAAATGACTGCATTAGCAATTTTATTAGCAATTCAGAGGCCGTGGTGACCTTGACATTTACCAAACCCAGTTGAATAGCGGTTTATTATCATTTTGTTTTTGTTTTTATATTGTTTTGCAATGTTGGGGCTGAATCCAGGGCCTTCCCACTGAGCTAAATCCCCAGCCCTCTTATTTTTATTTGAGATCTTAACTGTCATTTTCTTAGTTTTTAATTTTATTAGTACATTTTTGCAGTGCATATTGATTGCATTCATGTAACACATCTTAATTTTTTAAGTCCCACTTCCCTTCTCCCGCCTCCCTTCACCTTCTGATTCTTTACTTGGAGACAGGCTAAACTGCCCAGACTGGGCTCAGATTTGTGATCCTCCTGATTCAGACTCTCAGAGTGCAGAGGTTAGAGATGTGTACCACCACCCTGGCTTGGAACAAGTTTTAAAAATAATGGACTAGCCAGATATGGTGGCACACAGCTGTAATCCCAGCACTCTGGGAGGCTGAGGCGGGGACTTGTGAATTCAAGCACAGCCCGGACTACCCAGCAAGATTCTTTCGCAAAAAATGATGGAATTAGAGGGGCTTTGCTGCAAAGAATGACAAAGACATCTGACAGTAGCTAGAGGGGGGGAAGGAGAGTGGAAAGAATGTAGATGGTTGGGGATATATCTCAGAGGTACAGAGGTTGCCCAGATTGTCCAAGGCTGTGGGTGTGGACCGAGGTACTGTCCAAAAAAGAAAGGATACTTTTATTTTGTTCCCATTTTCTTGGATGAGAGAAATCACAGCATAATTCGTGGTCATTTTGACTTGGAAGAAGAACCAGCAGTCACAGGGTGCTAGAACCAGTGAAGAAGGCAGATGAAGACCCACCAGGAGGTCCACAGAAAGCGCCATAAACATTTTGAATCCATTCAGAACATCCAGACAGCCATGAGAGAGGACTTTGAGAACTGCTTCAGAAAGCAGCAGGAATGGCTTTATCCAGCCATGGATAAGTGTGTTGGAAACAAGGGGGAGAATTTTGAGGATTAAGCGCAGAGTAACTTTTACTGTAATAAAATTTTGAGAATTTTAAATATTCACTGTATTTTTGATCACACTTCCTAAAAATGAAAGCACTGAGTCAAAAAATGAAAACACTTTAAAAACTTTAGTGCGGGGCTGGGGATTTAGCTCAGCGGCATAAGCACCTGCCTTGCAAGCAGGCAGTTGTGAGTTCAATCCCCGATAAAAAGGAGAAAGACCAAAAAACGAAAAAAAAAAACAAAAAAAACTTTAGTGCACATCAAATAGCCCAAATCTCCATTTAGAAACTACCAGATCTTTTAGGCCTGCTCGTTCCACACACAGTTGTATTTCTCTGTTGTCCCATTGCCTTTGTGTGTTAGGAAGTTTATTTGTGTGATCACTGATCGTCTGCCTCCCCCACTGGACTACTGGCCTGTGAGAGCAGTGACCATGCCTGTTTCGTCACTGCTGTTTACCCAGCTTTTGGCTAGAAGCTGGAGACGTAGTAGGCATTCAGTAAGTCACTACTGATAAAGGAATCAGTGAAGTTAAGCTTAATCCAAGAATGGGGTAGATGAAGTATTTGGGGGGAACAAATGAGATGTGGCTATCAATCGCTACCAGCGCCATGCAGTAGAGTTCCAAGTGTTTGTAACTGGCTGATTAAATAAAGCAGGAATGAAGTGTCACTTTTTATAAAAGCCCACTGTCTTGTGTGGCATGATGATGGAATAACTGTGAGTCCTTCCGAGAACACTGTGAGAAACTCAGCGGCCTGGAGTCACATGAGGGTGTATCTCCCATAGTTCTTGGCCCCAGGCTCAGGTTTGCAGAGCTAAGTGCTGCAGTTCAACGGCCAGCAGGTGGCAACAAATGGTTATGAAAGTGCAGGAGCAGCTGAACCCTCTGGGAAGGGTGACTTTCCAGCTGCAGTACCACCTGCTGTGTCCCAGGCCTGGTTTCTAGGAGACGCCCAGCAGGATCTTTCCCAGGAGGGGGGCTGCCCAGGATAATGGAGCAGAGTGTGTGTGTGTGTGTGTGTGTGTGTGTGTGTGTGTGTGTGTGTGTGCTGGAGCAGCGGCCTCCCCTTAGAAGAGTCCAGAAAGAGAGTGGAGCACATGCACAGGGCCCCAGCTCACCCCTAATACCACAACCAACAAAACAGTGGAGTCCAACCCTGCTTTTCCCCTGCACAGTTCCAGGTCCACAAACTTAGTGGCCAGATGAATCTCCCTGAAAACCCAGGCTTCTCCAGCCAAGAGTTTATCCAGTCACACCACTGACCTGCCTCGGCTGAGGCTTCTGTAAGCCTGAAATGCTCAGGCTCTTTTTATTCTGCTGTTTTCCGGCCAGCCTCTGTGCCATGAGGTCCAGTTTGACAGCTTTGTGGCAATTACTGGTCTTGTCACTGCTGGATTGCACAGGTGGCTTGGCCATGTCCAGCCGTCCTCTCTTTTTCCTTTGAAGCTGATGGGAGGGAGGAAATCACCATTTGTGGAGAAGTCTGTTATCTCCGTCTATTCTTGCAACTCAGTAGATCCACTCGACCTGTGCTGCGTCCACGGACACCGAGATCTGCAGTAGCAGAGCGGCTGACATGGGCATTGACGTTTCCAATCCCAAATATGGTGCTCTGTCTGTTGCTTTGTGGTTCAAATGATGCCAAAACCTGCTCCTTAGGTGGAGACCACCAGAGATACAGACGAGGGAAGGGGGCGAGGTGACCAAAGAGTTGTGCTTCATCCTTCCCTCCTTCGCTTCAGCAGGGACAACTGTGATGTACATCTTTTAAAAAAACTTAAGCCTTCCTTTTAGAAGTAGAAAATTAGTGGGATAGATGGTCTCCAGGGCACACTCTGACCTGGCCGAGTGGGGACAGCGTGTGTCTCTATGGTTATCAGACAACTCACAGCCAAGGCCTGGCCACTGCCACCCTACAATCCTTGATGAACTCAGGAAATGTTTCAGTGGTAAAATTCTCCTCTGGCTGGCTCCTTCTATTCCCTGGGACAGACACAAACCACGAAAAATGAGTCTGCTGTGAAATCTAAAGCATCCTCCCCGCCGCCCTTCTGCCCATGAAGAGTGGGTAGAACTTCTCTTCAGCAGGCAGAGTCTGGGCAGCAGCAGTCTGAAGTAAGCTAAAGAAGCTTGTGAGGCCAAATGGAATGACAAAGACCAGAGGCAGAGAGAGAAGAGGGCCACGTCCAGTGTTGGGGGGCTGAGAGAATTGCAAAGAGGAAGAAGAGGAGGAGATAGCAAAGGAGGAGGAGAGATAACCCACCAGAGGCCTGAGAGGAGAGAGGAGTCCAGCGGTTATCTCTAAGGAGCTTTGTTGGATATTTAAACACATTTTTACCTTTAGCATTTTCTCCAGAAATTGCTTTCAATTCTGTTTTTTCTGCAGGACTGGATTAGTGCCGAGACCAAACCGCGTAGGAGCCTGGGTTTGTGGAACTTACATAAGCAAGCCTAAGAAGTCAACGCCTTTCCATTTTGTCAGCTGCCTGAGTTTCTATTCTTAGAGGTGCTAACTGTTAAACATTGTTATTCACTTGTGTTCCCTAAATAACTTTTAATTAGTTTTAAATTGGACTAAAAATGTTCTACTCTTGACACTATGACAGGAATTATCAAAAATAAAATTAATGAAGAATTCATTTCAGAAAAGAGCACATGCTAATATTACAGTACTTTATCTCGGCAGAAATGCAGATAATTTGAGATGTTTAAGCTTGGTTTTTTAAAATTGCTTTCCTCAAAGGCAACAATTGCATTAGTAAAGAGGCCCCTTAAAATATGTTTTTACCCTTGTATGCATTTTTACAATGGAATTTTCCCTTTCTTGTCCAGTGGAATTAATTGCACTGGGACAAGAAATGCAATCAAATTAATTATGTACTTGGCCTTCAAACTGCGTGTGATCTGGATAATCACTATCTTCACTGCACGTTAGAAAGCCACGAGCAGTATCTGCTCCTCTAAAACACCGCTAAAGGTAAAAGTCTGTCAGGGCTCTCAGACTACCATAAAGCAGATACAATGTAAGAAACTTTAAATTATTGGAGTTTATTAGAGGGGTCACTACCCTCTTCTCCCCCTGTCCTTTGAGACAGTAGTGATAGTTGTCCACATGTCTGTGACAGCATGGTCCTAACAAAGACTTGCACATCCATTTGGCTGAAACATGGCCAAAATCTCAAAGAGCTAGGAATCTGGGGGACAGCCCACAGCATTAATCTCTTGGAGTAAAATCTAGCAAAGAAACAGAAAATTGATGAAGTGTTTCTGATACACAGTGAAACATACTTGTGAGGCCTCTGCATACGGTGGTGAGCTAAGCCTGCTCTTGTTTAGTCCTGAGGCCTGTGGACTAATAAAGGCACTGGCAGGTTCCTTAGATAAAGCTTACAGTGTTCTCAGTATCACCATCAACTGTGATACTGTTTGCACTGGCCTTTCCATAATTTTCTCAATAAGCTTAGCTAATTATAGATGAGGAGGATGGTCCTTGTATGTGAATGATGGAATCACTTCATGTTCTGTAGTTCAGTGGAAAAGAGGATAGATCTGCTTAAATATTTATGGCGCGGTCCCATATCTTTCTTAGACAGCCCTTCCAACCAATCTGAACATCAGTGACAGCTGCACAATCGTTTACCTAGATTTCACAAGATTGACTGGCCAAGACTGAATTGAATTAAGCACTATTTCACTAATCATACTAATTTATAATGCATTCGCATAGTGTATAGCCGTGATCAGTACTATTTAAAGTCCCTTCTGTGTGCCCTGACTTGATGCATTAGTGGTACTGGCTTAGTTTTGTCACAATTCTGGGCACATTAGCAATTTCCAGGCATGCAGGGTGAGATGTATGGAGCTGCTGGATAAACGTGGTGCATCTGTCTGGAACTTCAATTTTATTTGAAGAATTGGAGAAAAAATTAATCAATTTAACTATTTATTTAATATGCTTCCAATTCTTTAATTTTCTGTGAAGCAACCACAATTATGCATTAGCTATGTTATGACTAAACCCAAATGTTGATTAATACAATGATAGAACAACAACTTGTAAACCCAGAAGTATGTCTGCTTAGCTGCCAGCCAGAAACAAACCGGTGATACAGACCACAGGCTCCCAGGACACTTCCTGGGCGGTGTGGAACACAGCTCTGCCTGGCCTCCAGGTGAGGCAGCTGCAGGCTGCTCCCATCTCTCCTCAAAAGTCTTCTAACATTGGCCTGGAGGTTGAAGGACCACTCAAGAAAGAAAAGGAAGCCTCCAGTCCATGGAAACAGGACACGTCCTCATAGATAAGATCCTGAGAGGCACGGATGAGCCGAACATAGGCTTAGAGTCACCTAAGAACTTGGTTCCTAGCTCAGCTATGCCTGTCCTAGGCAGGAGGTCCATAAGTCATGAGAATACCTTCTGAGAGCAATACTATTGCTCTCTAGACCTGGCCACTGCCTGCTGCCGTGTCCCTGCCTCAACTGGAATCACCATTTACCCCCGCCTCAGGGTACCCTGTCTCCTTGGCCTGCACTCAGTGCTATGTCTTGGTCAGGTCCAGTTCTAACCCTGTGGAAGAGTTCCTGTCCTTGAACCTGGTCCAGGCTTTAAGTTCCTGTCCTATTTTTTTGATATGAAAATAAATACAAATGCAAAATTCACACGAATATTTAATGTACAAGACCTTAGGGGTTGGGGATGTAGCTCAGCGGCACAGTAGCTGCCTGGCAAATGCAAGGTCTTGAGTTTGATTCCTGGTACAAAAAACAAAGTAGAAGACCTTTAAGGAAAAGGACACTGTATGTGGCTCCTTGAAGCCCTTGCAGGACCACTTCCGGGTGCTTTCATTCCAATGTGCTGTTAGAGCGCCAACAGCAGGCCGGTTTGAGAAGTGAAACAGGGATGTCAGCAAGGGAAAGGATTCAGCCCAGCCAGAAGGTTCTCTTTCCAGCTGGAGACAGTGAGCTTTAGAGAGCTCAGATCCTTCTGCCATCAGAGAAACCCGTATGGTTCTAGGTGTGCGGTCTCCTGATGGGACTTCTCACAGTGCCTTCTGCCTTCCTCAGGCGGCAAAATGTCAAAGAAACCGTGGCTGTGCCATTTTTGGGCACACTGACCTTTTTCTCTGTTTTTCTGTAAAATGGCTTTCAGAAGTATGCAGTGTTGCTTTGTTGAAATTTAACTTTATAATGCTTGCTTCCTGTTTCAAGAAAGATAAAGGCAGTTGACTGGTGCTGGGAGTCCTGAGCTCAGAGAACAGGAGACAGATTCCAGGGCCTCCTCACCTTCATTGTGCTGACTCTTAAGTCCCAGTCAGGTAGGTTCCAGACCTAATAAGATTAATTCTAGATTAAGATGGAAGAGCCTGGTCCTGCTCAGAGTGCCCTGCAAACTGTCCTCTTACAAATGCCATTGCCTGCAGACTGAGCTTTGGCTTATGTTTCCTAGAGAGAATAATGCTTGGTAAATATAGGGCACTGCACGTCTGTGTTCATTTCCGAAGTCTGCATGGCATGTTACTGAAGGAGGACCTTGACACTTACTAGAACAGTCCCCTTCAGGACATATTCTCAGTGCCAAGCTCTGTGACAAGTGTCCCCACCCTGCCAGTTGCACCCTATCTGTGTATCTCTTTTCTGGCCTATACCAGAGTTCTCTCTTGGCCCATATATATGAATTTTGATGCTTTGCAGATGGAAATTCTTCCTTGTGATGGAGGCAGATCATCTGCCCTCTCCCATATGGGTTGGGAAGGATGAAGAAAGAGTCAGAGAACTAAGCTAAGAGAGTGAGAACAAGGGAATTGGGTTGGGTGGGTTAAAAGGGAGACCTGGGAAGCAGGTTTGGAGAAAAGAGGCTGTTGCCAGAATCCAGGGAGCTTCCGAGGAGCTGTGTGGGCTGAATATTGCAGTCCTTGAAACCAGAACCAAGCCACTTCAAGAAGAGAGGCTAAAGGAAAACCTGTGTGTTGGCAAGGGACGCAGGGTCAGGGTCAGGGGAGACACGCAGGGGTGTGGCGGGAGAGGGGAAGCAAATTGGGATTAGAGAGAAAATTCAACAGGCCAGGTTATGCTGTGCCCTACAAGACCCATGACTATCACTGTGAGTCGTGGCTCTAAGTTTTCCTATACTATAATGAAGTAATTCTTCCCCTTGCACTGGAATGGAGTAAGTACAGACCCTTTCCTCTGTTCCTGCCATCTCCAAGGAGATGACCCAAGGTTCTCCTGTTTTGGGCATCAATTCTGGAATTTAAAAATTAATTTCATCCCCGAAAGTTGCTTGGTTTGTTCATGGTCTGCAGTGAGGTCCTCTGAGTGTGCCTTTGTGAAGCCAGTCTCGTCTGCAAAAAAGTGCTCTGGCAGGAGATCAATGGCGGCCCGAAGCTCTCCAGCTAATGATAAAATTTCACAGTGACGCATTCCCAGCATCACCCAGGAAGAACCCAGAATTAGCAATCTGGCTCTGGTTACCGCAGCGCGTGCCCCCACACAGGCTGTGCACCTCGTCTAAGCAGTGTCTCTGTCCTCGGCCGGCAGAAGGACTCGCGTGGCCTGGGGTGGGCAGATGGTGCCTGCCACAGCACACCCACGCCTCTTCTCTGTTACCCTGCAGGCTGCTTGCACAGCCCCCTCTGCGTCCTCTCCATACGCCTGGAGCCACAGCCCTGCCCCTTGCCTCAGTGACGATGCTGTGGTTTGCTTATTTTGACATATTCATCCCCAACACGCCAGAGATGAAAGGCAGGAAATGTGCAGTTCCAGTTCCCAGAGCAGGCGTGGCCAGACCACATGGCTTGACGTTTCTAGCAGAGGTCATGGGACCCTGAGGGCAGACACAGCATAGGCCATGAACTTAGGGCCAGGGCTGGGCTGACACAGCATCCATAGGCACTTCCCACCCCGGAGTGGAATCCCTGCTCACCAGGGACTGACCATAGCCTGCTCCAACTCACCCATCACTGCCCACATGGAACCCCACCTCCATCACTGCCACTGTGGCTCCCCACCACCCAGAGGGCCCTGCCTTAGAGCCCACTTCCTCTGGGCTACACCCGGGCAGCGGCCTGAGTGCTGCTGAGTGGTGACTGTGGACTGGCCCTGTCTTCCCAGTTCCCTCCAGGAAATGCCTCCGAGTCTTTAGGGTAGAGATTTGCAAACCCCCAGTGCTCTAAAGAAATCACAGAAGTTGACCTGCCCAAGACCCAAAGCCAGGGTTGGGGGAGGACAAGATCTTTGTTCCCCGAGTGACCGCCAGCCTTTCCTGCAGTCCCCAGCTAGCAAGATGATTCTTCTATAAACACACCATCTTTTTCATAAGACAGAAGTAAGTATCACTTCCAGCCACACTCAGGATGTTAAAACATGGGAAGAATGATTTGTTCTGGACCAGAAAAAGCCTGTGCTGGAAACTTTCCATCCCTCCTCCAGGTGTGTGCTGTGGAGCTAGGTCCTGGGGGCAGGAGGCTGGAACTGGCTTTGTAAGAGCCATTTCCGGGCGGGCTTTGGTGCAGTTAAAGCCGGGTGCCAATCATTAGGCTGCAGCGCAGACTTTTGTGTATTTCATTTCTGCAGGGCTGATTTTTTAGAGCAGTGCCAACACACCTGATCGCCTGCAGCTGTGCTCCCCGGGAAGCAGGCCACCTGGGAGTGCAGGAGAGCCAGCTCCGGGCACCAAGTTGAGCCCCGCCTCTTGTTCAACAGAAGCCACTAAAGACAGGTACTCAGGGACAATAATGTCCTTTTATGCCTTTGTCTGGGGCAGCTCATTAAGGTAGAAACGCCTCAGCACTGACAGGACAACCCCTTCCTGTGTGTTCCAGGAGAACATAATTGACTACAAAACCTCTTTTGATGTCATCATTGCCAGATACAAACCCAATTAGCAGCAGAGTTAACTCAGATCCATCCTGGGAACATGAAATACCACGTTCTACAGCTAGTCAAACCCGTGGAGAGATGACACATGTGGATGTCATGAGGAAGGTGGGTTCCAGGGCCCTCATGGGGCTGGGTGCTCCCAGAGCCCTCCCAACCCACTGATTTTACTCCTTTTGTGGGTGAATTACAAAAGCTTAAAGGATTAATAATCAGAAAAGCAGCTTCTGTCTGCTCAAGGCCTCTGGTCTAAGAGTATCACAGTTTCATTCTGAGGCTGGAGGTGTTCAAATGCAGTCACTGGGCTCTTCCCTTCAGTAGGGCCACCGAGGCCCTCCACAGCTTCATCCTGCAGAGTGGGGGGAGGTAAGAAGCCTCTTGTTTCTTGCTCCTTGTGACTGGTCTCCCACAGGCTGAGGCATCCTGGGTTCTTACTCTCTGCAAAACAGGAGCAAACAACTAATTTCAAGGACCAGAGAGATCTCTGGCCTACCCACCTCCGTTTAAATAATTAACATTGTCAAGCAGGTACTAAATGGCTGAGCAAAGAGAACACCCACACAAAAGCCAAGCACTGGTTTCTGATGTGTTGTTGTACAGTGACTATGGTGATCGGTTATCACTGCTGGAGAGGAGCCCTGTACCGTCTTTGAGGAAGAAAGGCCCCATTTAGAAGGAACCATCAAATAAGATCAATCAGAGCAGTCAGAAGATACACAGGAGGCTGGTTTGGGGGTTTCCCCTAACACTGAGCTTTATCCTTGGATAGGTCATCCTATCCAAGGGTGACCTTGCTTTAGAAGGCCTTTACTAGTGCCGGGGTAAGGAGGCAGGGCCCATGCTGAATCTTTTTATAAAAATTATTTTATTTTTTGCAGTGTTGGAAATTGAAGCCAAGACTCACACATGAGAACCTTTTAATTTGACAGGTGATGCATTTGTCTGTTCTGAGTGCAGAGGGTCTACTCTGGCCTTGAGGTGGCACAAAGCATTTGGAAAGAAGGAAGGCAGAAATCTCTGGAATCAGAGCCCAGGTTCCTAAGAAATTGGTTGAAACCATCCATTGTAAGCAGCAAAAATCAGCTCAGGCTGAGACAGGCAGAAAGGAGTGTGATGAATGGCCATGACACGGCTCAGAGCCCCAGAGAGGGTTGGAGAGTGAGTTGGGACAAACAGAAGCCTGAGGGTTGTGCCACAGCCAGGCCCCCACAGAGTCACATCAGAAGTTCCATCCTTCGGGGACTCTGTGGTGTCTGCTGTGGGTTGCAGGACCTTGTGGTTCTCTCTTGGTCACAAGGTCCACCCAGCACCCATCTGCCACAGTGGTCCCTCCTGCTGCTACCCCGTGGCTCTGGCAACCTAGCCCCATACTTGCCTGTGCCTGAGGCGAGGTGGAACCCTCGCCCCCACTGCACCCCACCCCAGTCTGAATCCTGCTGCTGGTCCTACAGCTTTCTAGAAGGGAAACATCTGTTAGCATTTTTATCTTCCATGGCTGTAATGCAGGTCGGACAAGGTGACACCCTTTGTCAGGTCTTCCTTTTCTGTCCCTCCGGCTGATATTTTACTTGGTGGACATCCAGTCCCTTCACTTCACGCCTCACTGTCCTATTCAGGCTACTGTGACCTGCAATTCTCCAAAGAGAGAGGGGAAGAGCTCGAGGGAGAGAGAGAATGAATCAGATGAGTCACTGCTCTGAAGAAAGTTTCAAAGAGCACAGGCCACAACTAAACAGGCCAAAGACAACGGCGGCCAGCGGCCAAGGCAAGGGGAGAGCTTGGCAAGTGCCAGGCACCTGTCAAAGCTCTGTCCCACACACGATCCCAGTCTCGTGGGGGTACAGAGCTGCTGGGGTGCAGGAGCCCGACCTTCAGCTGCAGTGTGGTGCGGTAGGAGCCGGGCAGAGTTCCTTCCCAGCAAGGTAGGCAGAAACGGAGTGGGTTGAAGAACACCAGGAGATTTTTGAAAAAAATTTAACAAGGCTTCTTTGTTTATCTTCTCTCTGGCTTCTGCAGCCGGTCTGCATGCAGTCGGGATAAATTCAGCCCAGGAGGAGAAGGCAGTGTTTCCTCCCCCTCTCTCCTCCCATTTTAGGGGAGAGGAGGAGGTGGCATGGGGGTAGAAAAAGATCTGGTGAACTCACCAGCTGGTGCTCAGCTGGGCTGAGCGGGCCCAGCAGCTCTGCACCCCCACAGAGCAGGCCCAGAGCAGGACTGCAGAGCCCCTCTGTTCTTGTTGCCTTCCCCCAGCTCCCTGGAGGTCAGGTTAGCTTCTGCCTGAGGAAGCAGGTGACCCCTTGTACTGTGTGACCCGGGCGCCCTCATTCCCCAGTGCTCCATGCAGGGCTCCTCTGTCCAGGCCAGGGGGAGTCAGGGTTTCAGGTACAGTGGTGCTGATGGAGGACCTGGTTAAATGTGTCCTGTCCTCCACTGTGGAAGAGCTCCATGCTTCACTCCACTGATCACCAGATTCCTGAGGGGGTGGGGGGGTCCTCAGGATGGCAGCTGGAGACATTCCGATGCCAGTGAGGGCAACTGGCAAGGGCGTGCCGTGGTGGGCACCATGGGTGTGAGGATCACATGAGGCTCTTGGGCAAGAAGTGGCACAAGATGAGGCTGGGATGAGTGAGGAATGAGAGCCTTGGTGTCACACAGGTGCGGCCTTGCGTCTCTAGCGCAGGAAGGTGGGACTCTGGGTGATGCTGGCGCAGGTGGTAGGGTGCAGAGGTCAGCTCTCCGTGGGGACTACGACCCCTTGAGCTGGCTCTGGGACAGGCTCTGCAGGTTCTTTCTCTCCCCTTACTCTGTACTGGGATTGAACCCAGAGCTGTGTGTACGTTGAGTGAGCACAGGACTAATGAGCCCCACCCCCACCCTACCTCAACAGCAAGCAGCTTTTAAATTTTTTCCTCTGTATTCTTTTTTCTTCTCTCTTTTTCTTCCTCCCTCCCCCTTTCCTTGTTCCCCTTCCCGTTTGAACTTTTGTTTCCCATTTCCCAATATCTTTTACACATTTTGGTCCTTATTACACTCTTGGTTTCTCACAACTGAGAAACAATGTGATATTTACATGTATGTCCAATTTCACTTAAGAGTATGGTCTCAAGATGCATCCATTTAGCTAGAAATGCTTCAAGTTTATCCTTATGGCAGAGCAGTGCTCCACTGTATAAAAACCCCACATCATTATTCATTCATCAGTTAATGGGCATTTGGGCTGTTTCCAAGATTCAGCCATTAAATTGTGCTGCTGTAAACATGGGTGTGCATATATCAATGTGGCACGATGATTTTAATTATTTTAGGAAGATACTAAGCAGGACAAATGTCCTAGTTTTTTGAGGAATCTCCACACTGATTTCCAGTGGTTCCACCAGGCTACACTCCTACCAGCAGTAGAGCAGGATTTCTTTTTCTCCACAGCCCCTCCAGCATTTGTTATTGGTTGATTTCTTGATAGTAGCCATTTTTTTCTGGAGTGAGATGGAATCTCAGTGTTGTTTTAATTTGCATCTCTTGAGTGGCCAGGGATGTTGAACATTTTTTCATGTTTTTGTCATTTCTATTTCTTCATCTGAGAACTTTCTGTTCACTTCAGATGCCCATTTTTGGGTTGGGTCTTTAAATTTGGGGGAATCTGATTTTTTTCTTAGTTCTTTATATATTCTAGATATTAGTCTTTTGTTTGAGGAACAGTTGGCAAAATTTTCTTGTCGCCTTGGGGGTTGTTTCTTCACTCTGTTAGTGGTTTTTATTGCTGTACAAAACTTTTTAATAAAATGAGATTCCACTTGTTGATTCTTTGTGATAGTTCCTGTGTGACTGGGGTTTTGTTCATAGTGTCTTTGCCTACACCAGTGTCTTCAAGAGTTCTACCTGTTGTATCTTTCAGCAAATGCAGTGTTTCTGTTTTAATATTAAGTCTTTGGGTCAAATTTTGATTTTATTTTAGTGCATGGTGAAAGATATGGATCTAATTTTAATCTTCAGCATGTGGAAAGCCAGTTTTTCCAGTATCATTTATTAAAGGGGCTCTTTCTTCCAGTGAGGGTTTTTGACCTCTTTGTCAAAGAGAAGGTGGCTTGTTGGAGACCACTGAAGCTAAATACACGTGCAGGGCTGTGGTGTGGCCTGGGCATGATTGAACTGACAATAAGGAGACACCTCAGGGTGCAAGATTCAGCCATTAAACCTGGAGACCTTCTGGATAGTTTTCCTTAATTAGCATCATCTGTTGCTTGGAGGGGTCCTTGAACTCCTCCCAAGATCCTGTTCAGGTATCCTCTATTGTCCACTCAACTCCTTGCTTGTCCTGATTAAATATGAGCTGCCTAGCGTCAGTGGGCCGGCCGGCTAGCAGAGTCAGGAGCTCTGCCCAGGATTTCACTCCTCCTGAGCCCTAAACACCATGCTGCTTGTCTCATTCCTTTAAGTCTTCACCGTGCACCCGTTTCGGGGTTTGGGGATCTAGGCACAGACCCCCACAGTGGCTGAGCGGGTTTGGAGTTATTTTTCCATCTTCTAATCTGTTCTGTTGATGTTTAGGTCTGGTTTTGTTTTGTTTTTGCCAGTATCATGCTGTTTTTATCACAGTAACTGTGGTATAATTTCAAGTCAGGGATTATGGTGCCCACGCCTTGCCTTTGTTGCCCAGAATTGCTTTTGCTATTCTAGGTCTCTTCTGGTTCCAAATAAATTTTAGGACAATTTTCTCTAATTCTGTGAGGTTTACTGTTAGTATTTTCATTGGGATTGAATTAAATCTATATAACAATTTTGAAAGTATGGCCATTTTCACTATATTGGTTCTTTCTACCCATGAGCATGGCATGTCTTTCCATTTTCTGATACTTTTGTCAGTCTCCTTTTCAGAGTACCAAAGTTTTCAATGACAGATCTCATTCATCGGATTGATTCCTAAGAATTTAATTTTTTTGGATGCTATTGTGAAAGGTATTGTGTACAGAAATGCTATTGTTTTTGGGGTGTTGACTTTATATCCAGCTACACTACTGAATTTAGTTATTGAATGTAGAAGACTGTTGGTGGAGTTTTTGGGTCTTTTATGTAGAGTATCACGTCCTCCACAAATAATGATAATTTACTTTTCCTTTCTTATCCTTATTCTTTTTTTTCCTCTTGCCTAAGTGCTTTGGCTAATGTTTCCAGAATTACATTGAACAAAAGTGGTGGTGGTAGAAATCCTTGACTTGTTCCTGATTTTAGTGTGAACGCTTTCAGTTTTTGTCCAGTTAGTATGTTGGCTATTGGTTTCTCATAGATGGCTTTTATCAAATTGAGAAAAAGACCTATTCCAATTTTCTGTAGGTTTTTTTTTTTTATCATGAATAAGTGTTGGGCCTCATCAAATGCTTTTTCTGCACTAATGAGATGATCATATGATTTTTGTCCTTGGCTCTATTAATATGGTGTATGACATTTATTGATTTGCATATGTTGGTCTATCCCTGCATTTCTGGGAATCCTACATTGTCATGGCTTGTGTTATTGTCTATTCCCTAAAGAATTTGTGTTAAACTTTGGCTCCAGGTCTTGTGTGGAGGTGAAGTACTTGATCTCAACTCTTGGCCCATCTGTGCTGTTTAGGTGGCTCCCAAGGGATTCTCTCATCTAGCCTGGGTGGCCTGCCTCCCAGTCTTGTTATGGAGTCTCTGATCATTGAGTCACGAGGCTGTGCTCTGAAGATGCCTGAGAAGGTGAGGTTTTGACTGCTAGGAGGGTCCCTTGAAGGGTGCATGGCCTGCCCACAGCCCTGGCACACTTGGAGATGCCTTAGCCTTGTTTCCTGAGGGCCTTTCCCAGTCCCCTGAGGAGGAAACCTTTTTACTTTTACTCTGTTCAGGAGAGAGCATAATTAGAAGTATCCATCCTCCAGTCTCTCTCCTCACTAAACATCTCTAAATTCCACTAAAAACACCACTAAATCCCTTGATATCTGAGAGACCAGCTCCAGGGCACCCCTCAGGTACCAAAGTCTGCTGATATGCAAGTCCTCTTATAGAATGGTGTATTATTTGTGTGTAACTACACATTTACTCTTGTATTCTTTAAATAATCTCTAGTTTCCTCATGATACCTAATGAAATGTAAGTGCTATATAAATAGTTGTTACAGAGGATTGTTGAGAGGATAATATGTACTTGTTACAGACACTGCCATTGTAGCCTAACTGTATCACTGATGAATGATACTTAAGGAGAACTGTGCTCAAGCCAAGAGTGCAGGAGACAGATACAGGATCCGTAGAATGGGTAGGCTGCAGCTTGTTTGTCTACATATGATTTCATTCACATGGATTCCACGTGGTGCTTTGTAAGTAGAAAATTCAAGGTTGGCTGTTTGGAAACTTCTAGAATCCCCTCCCCCACACTCTCAATCCACAGTTGACTGAACCATGGATATGGATATCTGAGGAGTGGGGGTTCCTGGGCTCATGTCCGAGGGGGAGGCCTCTGCAAGTGGAGGGCAGGGCTCAGTTGGAATGCTTGGGCTGAGTCGCCATGTCCTCAGCCTGGAATGGCTGCACCCCTTGAGTGTACACTGAGCTGCTGACGTCGTCTGGGAGGCCAGCCGCACTGAGGGTTGTCAATGTCTTTTATTGCCCTGATGATGAAATACTAATTACAGTGTCACTTGCTGTTTAAGTTATCGCCATTGATGCCTTGTGTGCAGCTGGAAGCACACAGGTTTACGCACTGCCTGTCACTATGATGGGGGTCAGCGTGGGCACTGCCTCGGAGCCAGCACGCCATGGAATGGAACTGTGAGGTGGAATAAACCTCTCCTTCAAGGTGTGGGTATTGGGTATTTGGCCAAGTAAGGGAAAGTGACTAAGACAGTTGCCACAATAAAATAATGCAGATAGAGTGGTTTAAGCAGTAGATGTTTATTTTCTCCCACT